CTATATGAACTAATTGTGAAGTAAGTTCCAACGAGTAGTAGCTAATGTGGGTAACTTTTTGGTCATAAATTCTGAAAGTGCTTTTAGTCTTTTAGGAGAGTGAGAAAAAAATACAGGTAAAGAGTTAAGACCTTGAAAAAAAATTTTAAGTTCCTTATTGCATTCTAATAATTGTTGAAGTATTAAATTAATAACACGCGCATAACAATGAGTAAATATAGCTTTAGGATATTTCTCTAATACTTTACTTTGCAACCCGTTTAAATGGCCAGACATTACTGCTGCCCCGTCATATGTTTGTGCCACTAATTTGTTTTCAATTTTAAATTTTTCAACTACTCGATTAACGTGTTTAAATAAAGAGGTTGCTGTTTTGTCAGCACTCATGTCATCAAATCCAAGAAAACGTTCAACAATTTTGTTTTCGTTTTTTGAAAAATATCTCAGTACTGTCGATATTGTGATTTATTACTAATATCAGTTGTTTCATCAAGCATAATTGCCACGTATTGTGTATTTTGAATTTCATTAAATATCTCATGTTTAATAACATCAATTTATTAAATCATTTTGTATGGAAACAGAAGTATCTCGAAAAATAGTAGATGTATATAAATGCTCTTGTAATAATGGATCAAATTCTTGGGTGGAAATCAATAACTCCATATAGTTTCCCCTATTTACTGAATATTTGTTTTCATTATGTCCCCTAAAAGATAATTCCTGTTTAGCTAAAAAACATACTGCATTTATTAATCTTTTTAATATTTCTCTATTTTTTGCTGTTTTTTCATTATGTAATTAAATATCTATTTTTCTTTGTTTATCTAATGATGTGTCAATTCTAGCAGTTGATGATGATAAAAATGTCTTAAGTTTAAAATATCCACCTGTATGAATTTCTTATTCAGTATGTTTTTTAACAGCTGTATTTAAATGATTTTAATCATCATACCCTTGATTATTCCAAACAGTTTTTTTCGTAGAAAATAGTAAACAAGACCAACAAAAAAATTTATTCGATATTTCACAACCACATAACCAATCAGATATATTATAAAGCTCTTTACGAAAATGCCGAGTATTATCTGTTGTCTTTTTAATTTTTACTGTTGTTAAAATGTCAAGATCTGGACACGGTTTACCATTTTCAACTAAAACTTTTTTTTCAGCAAATGAAAGTCTTGAAAAGCATTTTTGTTTTAATTGATTTACAACTTCGCTACGGTTACACATATTGTTAATATGGAATAAGTTTACTATAAGACACGTATTGTAAATTAATACCAAGAGTATCTTAAAAAAAAATAAATACCTAGTAACTGTCTTGAATTATCAATCAATTGCAATAAAAATGCATAAAAGATAGAACTAAATAGTAAATAATAATTAACAATAGTACTAGTACAATACTGATGCAGTGATGCACAGATATAAACAATAAGTTTTCGGCGATCAGCGTTGCAGTGCGAGTATACGACGTGCAGCCGTGATGATTCCCACCACTGCTATTAGCGGCTGGTCGTTAATTTCATTTTCAACGACTTGGTCTAGTATTAACATTGCACCGAAGTTAGTCGACAATATCATGACAAATTACGAATATGGGATATTAAATACCGCAAGTCGTTGTTCAAAACATTAACGTCTTACACGACATAATACATAATATTCCGTAATCACGCCATCGCGCGTCGTAGCTGCAGACCGTGCATGCTGCACGGTCGAATATCGAGTTAAAAATAGTTTATTAGTTGATTATTATTTTTATTTATGGAGAAGAGTACCTACAAGACAATTATTTAAAGTTTTGTATATAAAATTATATTACTATGTAATATGCATTACATTAAAATATTATCGTACTTTTTCTCTTTTTAAAATGTCAAAAATAACGTAACAACGTGACATGAAATAATTGAAATTGGTTATAACGTTTGCGATAAATTAACAAAAAAAAAATAAAATGAAATAAAAATATTGGCATCATTTTTGAAGAAAATATCGAACTAATATTTTCTATAATAAAAAAAAAACTTTAAATAAACATTAATAGAATGAAGCTTTTTATGTTTGCGTTCTATAAGTGTACGGACATTTTTTAGGATAAAGATCTTTTAATATGTCAATCAATCTTCGTTTCGTGATTATGAATATTTTTGAAATCACCATAGTATCTTAATGCTATAAAAAGTTTTTCGTTTTATCTTCAAATAATTAATCGTTTCCTTTGCATTTATTAGTCTAAGATAGAATTTGGTCGGTTTGCTTTATTGATATGATTCTATCCAAAATCGACTGCACACGACATTTAATCGTTCTACCACATTTGTTTTGAATACTTAACTCGTAAATAATTTTATTCAAAACATTTGACTTTCCATGCGTTCCCCTATGCGTTTACACACACACATACAAACACATACACATTCAAGCTTGCACACACATGCCCATATATATGCATATACTTGGTGCGGTCTGTTCTTAAAGGTCGATTATGCAGAAATAAATATCAATGCAGAAATAAATTGCTGGGCCGCAGTAAGTTTCCTTCGATCACAAGTTTCATATTTATACAGAAACGTACATACGGGGGGGGGGGGGGCGGGGTCAAACCCCCCCAGGGCCAAAAAAAAAAGAAAAGAAAATTATTTTACTATTGATGACGTGTAATATATTCGTAGTTCCATTATTACGTTTTGAACTTAAAATATACAACTATACAAATATTATAATAATTAAATAATTATATTGATAGGTGTTTGAAAAGTTTTATTAACTATGCTGTTTTTATAATTCAATAGCTATTAATTAACTGTAATGTAAAAATAAACTGTAAATTGATAAAAAATTTGTATAAAATAATATCTATTTATAGCAGTTATTTATCTGTGCTAAGAAAAAAAAAAGATAACGATTATTTTTGTTAACCCCCCCCCTCCCACAGTAGAGCAAGATTGAATGTACGCCACTGTATATATATATATATACTAGCTGAAATACCCGGCATTGCCCGGAAAAACTCCTTTTAGGTGTAAAACGCTGTGGAAGCGTTGTCGAAAAGAAGAATGTCTTTTTAAATGTAAATTATATAATATTAAATTTGTAGTCACATGTGTAATTATATGGGTAATATTTTTGAGTGCTATATATTTGTTATACTTAGTCAATTGTTTTTGCTTTTTTTTTATAATTATCCGGCTTCATCCATGTGTATATTTTTTTCATACTTACAATATTATTTTAAAATGTTATGGGTAATATTGTTGTGTGCTAACTATTTTTTTATGCAAAGTCGTTTTCGCATTTTTTATAGTACCTCCTTATATACAATATTTTTGGTTCTTCCTTCGGGAGACAGTATTACCAGACTATCAGGAGAGCTTACACGTGAACAGGCTACGTGTAATTGGCCATGGGAGAAACATTCATTCCTTAAATCCACTCCTGCCACTTTCAAAGACTGTCCTTGTGCTTTGTTAATTGTTATGGAAAAACATACCTTTACGGGAAACTGTAGCCGTTTGAATTGAAAGTGGTAGTCAGATGGAATTAAAGGTATTCTTGGTAGAAAAACTGTTTTTCCCATACCGCAGCCTATAAAGATAGTTGCTTCAATTACATTTTTATGTAAGGTCTTAACCTGAATTCGTGTGCCATTACAAAGTTTTGGAGGTATAAGGTTACGCAATAGCATTATCAGAGCTCCAATTTTCAAACATAGGTTGTGAAATGGAATTCCTGGTGGATTTAAAGTGTGAAGGAACTCTACAGGATAATTAACTACATCTTCTAACTCCACAACAGAGTCCACAGATGGATATTTCACTATTTCAGTAGGAAGCTGGTCCAATAAGGAATCATTGATGCTTGCTGCAGTGTCATTCTTTGGTGTAAGAATGGCTCTTTCGTTAAGCCAAGTCAGGTTTTCTGAATGTAAATTATTTAAATTCAGATATATTTGCTCACTCAAACTTTTTATATCCTTAACGACTGCACACAAATTGTTTGGAATGTTCACTTTCCTATCATCATCTTCATGTAAATCTCCATTTCCTATTTGAAGGAGTAAATTGGAAAAATCCTCTGCCTCAGGATCGCCTTTAAGGTATACTCTCATGCTGACTCGTAAGGATTTGACTTGGATCTTGGGCCATAGGTAGGATGATTTAAGGCAGGCCCTTACCTTATCAGCACGAGTTACTGGAGGAACAACAGGTAGTGTTTGCCTGAAGTCCCCAGCCAGTACCCAGTACCCCAACTAATTTTCAGAAATTTGAGCGTTCCTCTACTATTATTATGTTACAATTATAACGCTTAACAAGTTTTGGGGACGCTCTTTTTTTAAAGTAAATAGAATCCCTCTTCTTTAATTTTTCCAAGTCGAGCATTGTGTAAAACCAATACACTATTTGCTTAGTTCAAAATCTAAATAGCTCATGTGGGATCTATTTCTCTATGTGCAAGCTCCTGTAAGGGGCGCCAATTTATTTTTGTCCTGGAGCACAAATTGTCAAAATGCGACACTGGTTCTGCGACTACACGACGGTTGGCTTCGTTGAACTACAATTTCATAATTGCAAAAAAAAATTAATAACAATCATGCTCAAATATACGGTTGGTAGCATTGTAAGATAGATTTTTGGTGGGCGACATTTTGTCAACGGATTACGAAGAACGTACACAGTCAAATTACATTTTGGCAGGCTGTATTACGTGTTTCGTGTTAATTGTTCTACGACATTAACACTGACGTCAGTGAGTATAATCACTGTTGTAGAAATATTCAAGTATATATCCTTTTCGAAGCTCAGTTGTTTTATGAAATAAAAAAAATTAACAGAAAATAAAATAAAAAGCTCGTACATACCACGTAATTTATATTGTGAACTTTAATTTATATAATATCCTTGGGCTTACCTTTACCGAAAACTAATTCATAAACAGCTGATTTGGTTGATAAAAAAAAAGATGGCTGATTGGAGGGAAAAACTGTTTTCCTTTTTTGTTAACAGATTGTGTAATGAAAAAATGATGTTGGATATTGGTACTATTTGCCTGTCGCGTTCTTAATAAGTGTTTTTTCCAATTATTAACGATTCGAATTTCTATTTCTGTGTGTTTTTCTACTCAATGTTCAGTGCTCGTTTTGAATAGCGACAACTGTTTTTTTTCATGTAAAGTATAGTTCTATTACATCTTTTGTTTATTAATTAATTAACTGTTATTCATTTATACTAGTGTATCATATTAAAAGCACTGGTAAGTTATATATTTTGTTAATATGATTGGATTAATTTAATTTGTTATTTATTTATTCAGTTTGAATTTAAGTGTATTTCTGCCCTTTAAAAGCATTATGCATATATTATCTCTTGCTGTAATTAAATATGAATAATTATTATAGTACAGCCTATGTATCACTTATGATTGTAGTAATACTAAAAAATTGTTTTTATGATAATTCACAAAATTTAAAGTATTAAACTTTGTACAAGATTTTAGTTCATGGAACAGTAATAATCATATAAGATACTTCTCTCACTGAGAGCAAAACCGCCCTTAGTTCAATTAAAGTCCAGTTATGGATAAACCTAGACGAATTTGATGTATTTACATTAATTTATTGGTGGAATCCTGTTCTCATTTCACTAGATTCAATACTTTTGTGTTTCCATTACGCATAACCAATTACCCTGTTTACTCAGTGTATCTGGCACCTTTGCTTGTGTTAAAATATTTTAATATATTTTACAGTTATCAATTCTTTTCTTTAACCGTGTCGTACCATTTAATTAGATCTAATCCAGTTTGCACCATTTATAATTTTTCTATGATTTTTAAATAAAATATTTTTGTATCGTCATTATTATATTTTATTATATTAAGCATCTACATTATTGGCTACATTTGTTCAATTGCAGTGACGTCCCTAGACTCTTATATGGAGGGGGGGAGTCAAACTTTATTTATGTATTTTCTTAGTATTATATAAATAACAAATAATGAAAATTTGGAAGAAAAAAAAGGTTATTACAGGACCGCCTTATTCGCCTTTTCCCCTGAGGACACTGTTTAATTTAATAATTTATTTGGTATGATTTTATTTGATTTATAAGCAGGTATTATGGCTAAGGTACAGCTGTCAAATGTGGTTGTCCTAGATAATCCATCTCCATTTTTAAATCCTTTTCAATTTGAGCTTACTTTTGAGTGCATTGAAGATTTAAACGAAGGTATTTATATATAAATAATGTATATAAATATGTATTTAAATGTATTTCTTCAAATATTATGTTTCTAGATCTGGAATGGAAAATGATTTATGTTGGTTCAGCTGAAAGTGAAGAACATGATCAAATACTTGATACTATTTATGTAGGTCCTGTTCCTGAAGGAAGACATATGTTTGTTTTTGAGGTAACAATTGTAGCATTTATATTTGTTAAATCCTAAATCAAAAGTAAATTGCAATAAAGTTGAGTATACTCCAATTTTCTCATTCATATAGAGGCGGATTTCCCATTAGGCACTGTAGGCATCTGCCTAGGATGGCAAAATTTGGGGGCGGCTAATTCTGTAGTATTTTATTAGAAATCATCAAATGTATGCAAAAAAAATTGGAAAATTATTTACTTTATATTTACGAAAAATAATTGTATAATAATGGGTGTATTTTGTTATTATGTTATCGTCGGAATTTCGGGGAAAATTAAATACCCCCATTGCCACACTATATTACTAATTCGACTCTATATTTATAATCCTATTCTGTTATTATGAAAAACTGTTTTTAATAAAATTTAGTGGACATCCATTGACATTTTTTTCATAATAGACTAATTAATTAAAGCGAAAAAAAGTCTAAAAATTCAAATGGATCTAGGTACATACGTTTATATATAGATATATATATGTATATATAATATTTAGATTAGGTATTTTGGAAGGGGTAATATAACTTCTTCATCTATTATAGGGGCGGCAAATTGTTGGTGCCTATAGCCGTAAAAAAGATAAATCCGCCTCTGCATTCATAACTATTTAAATCCTGAAAGCTTAATATGCATATTACCAGTTAATATTTATAAAAACAATTTTAAAAGAATAAATGGGTTTTATAGCTTATTGTATTTCATTTTAATCACTTGCACTTTTAGTTACAAAATTAGACCAATTATGAAATTAAAATTTGGTTATGATAAATGTCTGTAACATATTTTGTGTTAAAATTTGAATATTTTTCTAATTAATAAATTAATAATATTAACCTCATTGAATATTTTTATTAAGTAATTAAATATAATTTATTACTATATGAAATTATTTTGTAATTTATCACAAATGTTTTCCATAACCATATTTGAACATCCAATTACTATAGACAGGTTTAGATATTTTCGTAAAATCTAAGACCTAGATTAATATTAATTAACTGAAATTTATTTATGGAAGTCATTTACTACATTGCTAATAGGTTTTTAAGTACTATTTATTTTTTTTTATGGAAATGTTGAAAAATATTTTAAATTTAATAATTTATTAAAATATGATAGCTAATAATTACTGATAATATAGTAATGTATGATGATATAATCCAATAACATTTTATAAATTATTACTATTATTAATTTTTAAATTTATATCATGTATACACATATACACTAATGCTATTTCAAAATATTCAATCTATTACATGAACAATTTATGTATCTTAATAATTGACATTCTAAATTTCAATTTTTACTTTTTAATATAATTTGTTACATTCAGATTCCCTTAAAAAATGTATTAATTTACCCATTATTATTATAAATTAATAAAAATATAAGTTAATAACCTATATGAAACTACATTTAAAGTTATTTATATTATTAATTTATATTTCAATTGTTCATAATAATATATATTTATTTTAAACACATTACACACACACGTAGCATTTCTCTTATAATATAATGTACAATAAATTAAACTGATATTGAAAAACTATTCTATAGGCCAATCCACCTGATGTCTCTAAAATTCCTGAACAAGATGCTGTCGGTGTAACTGTTGTACTATTGACTTGTTGCTACCGAAATCAAGAATTTGTCAGAGTTGGATATTTTATCAACAATGAATACACCGATCCAGAAATTCAAGAAAATCCTCCTGCTACACCTCAGTTTGATAAGGTATTTTTAGATAGCTTAAATACTGAATTGATCTTTTAAAAATATTAATAAATAGTTAGTAGAAATAAATAAATACTTAGCCATACAGTCATGATTTTATTAACTTTGTATACACATAATGATAAATTTTTAATTCAAAACCAGTCATTCATTACAAATATAATATTCCAGGCTAATCATTTATTTATTTCTAAATATATATGATCTATTTATATATTTATTTACAAATATTAATTATTTAATAATTTTTATTTTATTTAAAATATTTAATTTATTTTATGATAATTAAAATATATAATTGTATACTGCATTTTCTCAATTTGACAAACTGTTCTAATATTATAATTATAAATTATGATTTGATATTTACTGGTTTTTTTTTTTTTTTTAATAAAAACAATAGCTTCATATTGTTTATATTACAATTAGGGCTAGATGATTGTTGATTTTTGACAATTGATTGTTGAAGAACAATCAATTATCATTAAAATCATTTTTAATGGACTATTATTACTATATCAATTATTGATAAAAATAATATTTTATTTTATCTATTAATTTTTTAATTACTTATTTTATTGTTTGATTATTAGTAACAGTTAATTACGTTTATCATTTACTCATATTATACAATTTATTTTTTATTTTTAAAATATAAGATTATATTTTATATTTATTTATTTAACTATTTTAGTTAATTTTGATTACTTTTAATTAATCTCTTTGATTAACCCATCATTTTCAATTCATATATTTGATCGAACTTCATAGCATTTTGGTAAATTTAATTGTTCTGTAGGTTATGATGCTATTTAATATTATATATCAAATTATAACATTATATTTGTTCTAATATATTTATGTTTTGATTTTAAAACAAAATTTGTTAATTTTATTTCTCTATTTGATAAAAACATTGCGTCTATATATTGATATATCAATGATGAAATAAATTTAATAATTTCATGCTTTAATAATGTAAATATAGCCTCATATAATTATAATTATATAGTCCAATAACAATTTTTGAAACTTTATCTTAAAAAAAAAAAAAAATACATATATGTATAATTATAATTCTTGTATTATAGATTTTTATTAATTTTAACTTGATAAATTTCAATAATTTGACTATTTTATTTAATTGATTTTAGAATTATAGTTTTTTACATTTTCTTCAAATTAGTAATTTTATGTTTAAGATGACTAGAAATATATTGGGAACTGAACCTAGAGTAACCAGATTTAAGATCAATTGGGATGATTCTGAGCAACCATCTACTAGTAATGGAATGCAAGCTAATTGTCATGTGAATGAGGAGGATTCAAACTTACAAGAAATGGATGATGAGGTATCATCTTTGTTGTCTTCTCATGCTGATAACAGTCTTAGCCAAAGTCCAATGGAAGTATTGTGAATTGACTGATCCAATGTCCAATTTATTTAAATATCTATATTTTGTCAATCTTATAAAATTTTATATTATAAAGAAAATATAATGAATAGTAATAACTTTGTAATAAATATTAAATACTAAAACAATTAATGTTATATATCGAAATAAAATAAAAGTAAGACGTTTTTTATTCAATTTTATTATTGTTAAATTTAACTTAAGCCCTTTATTTTATACCTTAAATAAATTATAAAACATAATACAAAGGATAATATTGTAGTAAAAAAACGGCATATTTGTACAGTATTTTGTAAAATAAATTTTATTATTTATAAATCTTCTTTGACGTAAATGGATTTTAGTTCTTCAACTCTTTTAATAAAATCGGTTTTTTCCAGGCAGCCATCACAATTTTCTCCCCAGTTATCTAATATTTTCTTCAAATCTTTAACCTTTAGTTTTTTGAGGTTAACTGTCTTCCAATCTATCTCTTTGTCTAAAATGAAATTGATAATTATTTTTTATTTTATACATGTTGATTTCTCCGAGAGTTTATGAATATTTTTTTTAAAACTTACCGAATTTTATATCGCAAATTTGAGCATCCATTTTCTTTAAACGTTCACAGACTTTAAGTGCAGGCATGGACCATGATAATGGTTTAGACATTTCACTTAAAATACCAGTTGCAGAATCTTCTACACCACCCAAATAGTAACACTGAAATATTTTTATTTTTAGTAATATTACATAATTAAAAGAAATAGTTAAGAGTTGTCTTAAGAGCCTTGGTAGTTAGGCTATTTCAGTCTATTACGCCAATAGTAGACTAACATTTTTTAATTATACTAATTGATCTAATGATTTTACAAGAATTTTAAAAATAAATTTTAACTTTTTAAATGTATTAAAAATGCATTTATTTGAATTTTCAATTTTATTCTATTTAGATTCATCACGATTAATAGAATGAAATCATTATGAAAACCTTGAAGAAATCAGTTTTGAAAACAATTTTTGTATCACTACATTAATCAGTGTATTGAAAGAGGAGAATGAATAAGTCTAAATTATTAAATTACTGTAAAATGAACCAAAGAAAAGGAAGTTGAAGGATTTCAATAACATAAAAATGGTTTATAAAATTCAAAATAATCATTATTTGAAATGTAACCGTAGATCCTAGGAGATATTTAATGCTCCAGATTAACTATAATATATCTTAAAAATATTTGTAAATAATATTCTTCATGAATAGTTTATAATAACTACCAAGGAGTATTTTAGTCATCATCTTGAAATAAATTCTAGTTTTAAGGGCAACTTGTTTTATAAAACAATTACGATTTTAAAAACATAGATGCATGTAGAAAAATAAAACATGTACAGATATTTTTATAAAAATGAATCTGAATAACTGAAAACACAAAAAGTCAGTGTACTAATCTTTACTTATATTACAAGTGATTTTGAATGAATAAATTGAAATTGTTTTAAACAAAATTAAAAAGTTCCATTCTACTAACCAGCCTTTTTTCTTTATCAATTCTTGACGAACGACAATATTTCCTGAATTTTTCTTCAATAACTTTTGTGTTGGTTTCACCTTCAAGTGTTTTTGAAAATTTATCAATTGTAGACACACAAACTATAAGTACAAATAAAAATAAAATTAAATATTTAAAATATTTATAATAATATTTTAACTAACCTGGACAATCTTCTTCTGCAAATGAACGTGATTGTACTTGTAATATTTGTACATAGAAGAACACACAAGCTAATAATATATGAATATCCATTTTGAATTTATAGTTTAATATTCACACACACTTGAACAATTCTTTTTCTATCCCTTTGTAATAAATTTAAAGATTTATATTATACATTAAACTTATAGTATTTAAGTTATTTGAAAGGGTTTTTTTTTTAAGAGTTTAATGAAAATAATTTAAGACACATACACAACAATTTGTTAGGAACATTTCAAAATGTATTCAATATCAATATGCCCACAACTTTTTATTATGTTACTACAGAATATTATCCTAACTCGACCTGGCGAAATTTCATTGGTCCGATTTTCCGGTATGAATGAAGTATGAAACACATACATAACTTCATGGCCATGTATGATTATCAATAATGTCTTTGTTATCAATATAAGCAATAGTTATCAATAATATTGACATGTATAGAAACATTGTATTGCTGGAATTATTGCAGTATTCTTAGTTTTAAAAACTAATAATCAATGTTTTAAATTATGTGTCTATTGTTTTATTTTATTTCTGTTACATAAAATAAATAATTTTTTTAATTGAATTTAAACATTATGTGTTTATCTGGTAGTAAAGTTATTGACGAATGATAAATATGTTTTCTTTCATATTTTGATGTTCCTATCCCGATATCACACTATAACCACATAGTTTATGTAACATAATTTATAAATATGTCAAATGTGTAAGTAATATTTTTATATTTTTAATTCTGTAATGTAGAAACCAAAATTTGGTCTCTAATCATTATATGTTTAAATATCAAATCTTGCACGTTTCCTATTATTTTATTAACATTTATATTTCAATTAATTTAATCAAGTTCTTCTTTTCTTTCTTAACCTACATACATTTTTTTATATAATATTTTTAATAGAAGAAAAAAAAACATTCCCATTCAAAAATTATTGTTGATTATTATTCATATATTAACACAATTGAGATACTCATTTACTAAGGTATAATTATTTAAGCATTTTTTCGATATTTTTAAGTCAGATTTTAGTCACAGAGTTCACTCTTATTTGGATACATTTAACATAATTTTAAAAATTTAATAAAAAACATAGGTAGTATATTGTTAAACATAATTATACAGCTCTCATAGGTATACCACTGTTGTAAATTAAACATTTTACATTGATATCCATATTTTGAAATTTTTTAGTTTAATAACAACAATCTTTTGTTTATATTTGAAGTCTTAAAACATTTGATTATTTTTAAAGGTTAAATATTTTTTAGAATTAACAAGAAAGGAAAAAAATATTCTTGTAAACCAGCAGACGATGAACATCTACAACATGCTGAATTTATTAAAAAATGTCATTTAAAATTGAGAATAAATTCAATGGATATTGGTGCAGATGAAGCATGGACAAATCACTGTTTAGACGAGTCACTTTTAAAAGTAAAAATATGAATTAGTATTCTTCAAATTTATTATTATCATTATTTTCTTATCTTTTTGTTTACTTTTATAAATCAAATATTTATTTACTTGTGTATTTACGACCGTATTTGTTTCAGAATTATTCTCAAAGCATGCATAAACTGGCATCACAATTTTGGGATGCAAACAACAAAAATGATCCTTCAAGTTGTAGAATATCATGGATTACTTACAACGTTTTAAAATATTTCCAAGAAGATTATTTTCATGAAGTAGTTCGAGAAAAATCTTTAGCTGAAAAGTTTATTGTGAATTGGGTTGATAATAATGTAATCTGCATGCCAGAAAAACCTTTTTATCTTCTTGATGTTGGAAGTTGTTATAATCCTTTTCAAAAGTATTTACCTTTTAAAGTATTGCCTATAGACATAGCACCAGCAACTGAAAATGTTATAAAATGTGATTTCCTTTTAGTACCATTAGACACTAAGTTAAACATTTTTAAAAATGTTTGTCAAACTTTACCATTATCTAGCTTTGATATAGTTGTATTTTCATTATTTCTTGAATATTTTCCATCACCACTACAAAGGTACAAATGTTGTGAAAAAGCTTATAAAGTTTTAAGACCTGGTGGTTTATTAGTTATTATAACACCAGATTCAAACCATGCTTCTTCCAACTCGATGTTAATGAAAAATTGGAAGATATCGTTAAGTAGTTTAGGATTTTGGCGTATTAAATATGTAAAGCTAACCCATTTACATTGTATGGTATTTAGAAAATGTTTTCTAGAACAGATTCCTAAAAGTTGGTTGCATTCTTTAAATATTACAAATAATGTTAAAGATTTAATAACCATTCCACAAGATTCTAGAAATTATAATAAAATAGATAAGACTCCAAAAATGTTAGAAAAGCGTGATGATTACATGGTTGCTAACTTATTTTCAGAGTTAACTAATATATAATATTGTTAAGAATGTTTTTTAATTTATCAAATTTTTTGATTTTGTTAAATAAACTAAATAAATTAAAATTTTATAATTCATATTCTTTTTAAATATTTATTCTACTTCATTATATACAGTAATATTTCCTTATTTTTTTATTCATTAAAATGAAAATATATTTAACAGGTATAGGTATAGGTTATTTTCATTTTATTATTAATAAATTTAACTGAAACTGTTGAATATTTCATATATATATATATATATATATTACTAAAAAAAATTTTTTTGTCTATTATATTATGTATTATATCTTTACATCGTCTTATCTTGATTATTGGAATTTGTAAAAATTTACGATTTCCCAACATGGCGGGGAAGATGTAACAACAAAAAAAAGTATAATCCGACTGTATTTTAAATTTAAATTTAATTTATTAATATCACTAAAAATTATTTTATATAACTTATTAAGTTTTATATTTATTCATTTACGTCAAAATTATAAAAATGTACTAATACCAAATTATATATTATATTTTTATAATATATAATGTGTTCTAAAATATATTTTAATGTATTTTAAATTAAGTCTCAAAAACTACTGGTCCGATTTTTGGAAAAATGTCTATAGAAGATTGAAAGCCATTGAAATATTTTGATAACCCCAAACTACGACGCCCCAGAAACTGGTTTTTATTAACTGGTTAACTCAGAGGAATGTATATAAAATTATAGCAATAGGCAATGGATAGCAATAATAAGCATTGATATTGGATAACTACTGCTTATTTTGTAATTGGACATAGGTCAGTAATAAATAAATAAATAACTAGTATTCATATTCAGCTTATGGGCATGGATTATAAAGTAATGAACACATAGGTGCTTATTACATTTATAACTTTTCATTTGTATTTATAATCACAAAATAATAATGTAATAATTAATTCATACCTTATATGAATTTTTTATAATATTATAAAATCACCTATTTTTTAAGAAAAAATGTAAACACCCCACAAAAAAATTGAAAATATGCCACTGTCACTTATATGAGAATTTTTGTTACGGTATGGCTTTGAAACAACTTACATTATCCAATTGCATGCGATTTTTTTTTCTTCAAATTAGAATAGAAACTGCTAAGCATGTATTAAACAGGGAGTAAAAACAGGTCCATAAATTTGAGGTTACGGGTTTCGTGTCTAAAAACGGTTTTAAGCTAGGGCAGTGCGGAAGCAGAGCTCACTACAGAAAAATAAATCAACAAATATTATAATTAAAAAAAGATAATATTTTCAATAATAATATTATGTTTTTCGGACCGCAGTTGAAATAATAGTTTTGTAATATCTTGGAGATAGTGCCGGTCCTATGGGGTGGCAAGGGGTACGACTGTACCGGCCCTTGCTTGTATGGGGCCCTGCATGTTATGTATTACGAATACCATTTTATCTGTAAACAAAAATTCGCAGTATTACGCAAATTACGGCCTTTGTGGTTTTCTCAAGAAACGGGTTGTTATTGGCGAAAATCAAGACGGTGCCAATTACATACATAGCTTTACAGGCATATGCTTGTAAAACTGTTTATCGTCGACGACGATCGATGAATGTTCAAAATATAGTTATAGTATACACCTATTTAGTTATATAATAAAATTAATAAATATAGATTTATTTAAATAATTAATGAATTAATATATATGGGGTCTCGAGAACCATCAGTCGATACTGTCTCGAGAACAGTACCAATGTACTATGTTTGTATAAATACTTTTTATTCAACACGATGAATATAATATTTGGAATATTATAGAGTGGTTGTCACGTACTGTTTCAAATTGTTCGTGTTTCGTAGCTTGAAAAAATTCAGGTTACCTTTTTTTACTCCCTGGTTTTAGGTATAAGTTCCAGAGTTAACTTGGAACTAAGGTTCTCATTATCAGTTTTGTATAGATCATAAACCTTATACACAATCAGTAAAAAGCTATGGGTTTGTTCGATTTAAATTGTTGACATTTAATTTTCTCCATTGGGTTCAAACATTTTTTGTAATGATTGATTTGTTGCAAAATATTCAAGTGAAGAAAATTAAATTTCGATCGTTCATAAAATAGGCCCAAGAAGATGCACGTATCCACAAACAATCTTGCGCACGAGAATGATCAAAATACTAACAATAATAGGTAAGTAGTAAATAACAACAATAAAATAACGATTAGCATCAAAAATGATAGTAAAAATAATTTTAACGTATCCAATCTATATATATATATATATATATATATATATATATACAATTAAAATACCATTCTCTGACAGACACTAAGAAAAGATTTTTCGAAAATCGCATTTATAAGGGAACAAACAGTTTTGTGCTCTGGCCTGTATACATTTTTCCACTCTTTGGATATCTAGGAAAATTTCCTAACAGGAAATGTTTTATATGTTTTGTGTTGATTTCATAATTATCGATTGAGGTGATGTAAATTAATATAAATATTAAAATATATACATATTCTTACACTGAAATAGTAATTGCTTTCATCTAAATTAGTAAATTATCACCCGGGAGTCTCGTTGTCAGATAAAAACAATACACTTATAATTGAAGTATAATTAAAGAATATGCAATTATATTGTATGTTGGTGCTCGGAAATTATTTAAACTTATCTATTCGAGTTCTTCAAGCTATTTTTTAAAATTGCAAATTTTATTATTTATCTACCAACCGCATTATTTTGTAAATCAATGTTTCTATGTTTTTTTAGTCAATTATAATAATAATGTAAATAATGAATATTGCTGAAATAATATTGTACCTACGTAATATAGGTATACTTTATACTTTTGAAGTGATTGTTTTTACAGTATAAGGGTGGTCACGGATTAATGTTTTTGAAATCCAATATTAAATCTGTTCCATTTGATTTTCTGTACATTTGACGTTTAATTGTATAATTCCTGGCTACTTCACTGTATTTTAAAAATCGTAGAAATTCCTGCAGCATTCCCAGAATATCCTTTCGAATTCTGAACAGCAACCCACGCTGACTACCTACTCATTACAAATTTTATGGATAATTCCATGATAATTTTCACAACAGTAACAATTATAAGAATTAATACTATATTATTACATATGTACACAGTGGCGCACGCAAGGGGGTAGGGTTATGGAGTTGTACCCCCTCCCCCCGAAATTTTCTCCGATTAGTTAAAGGTTTAACTAGGTTAAAATTTACAAATTTTACAAGTTTAAAATATGAAGAGCTAGTATTGATTACCTAGTATCATTGATTATAGAATAGTCTATTCTATTATCAATGCTATTATTTAAGTCAAAATATATTAAGGATTTGCATAATTTTGTTAATTGTAAAATGTGTTATATTTTTACCTTGATCCCCCCTCCGAAAAAAAATCCTGTGTGTGCCACTGTATATACATAACGTTCATTAATATCTTATCACAAATTCGGTTATTGGTAAAAATAATAAGTACACTTTATTATCCTTCTCATTTGTAAAAAAAAAGAATCGGCTGATCGATATAGCCTTATGCCACTTAAAAACTCTCAATATTGTTATTACTGAAATAACTAGGTTTCGATAGTAGGGTAAAACAACGATAAATGATCGTACAAAAAATGTTTTCATTACAAAATAAAAACATACAAATTAACTGATGGTGTTTTTTTAAAATTAATTTGCATGAATATTATTTATTATGTAACTGCATAAATATCACGAATTTTGATTGATTATTTAAACATAAATTAAATGGGATGTAGAAATGTACAAAATAACAATGGGCAAAGCATTATGCGATATAGTTAGAATATGATTTATAATTATATCTCTATGATAACTATTTTGTCATATTGTCAATGAGAAAAAATTATGATTTTTTGAACAATTTGTACCTACTTAATAAGTAGAATATCGTAATACGAATATCAATTCGTTTAGAAACGATTGAAACATTTTGTAGTTCTTGTATACATTATCTTAACAATTATACACTTTTACAGTAAAATTTCCAATAAAAAGCCCCTTAAATTAATGTATGTTTTTGTTGTGACTTCGAATTTGTTTGGAATTTATTTCATAAAAATGTCAATAAATAATGAACAACTGTTTCCATCATGTTCATAATTCTTTTATTCAAATTAATATTTACATATTTGTATGATAATAAGGTATAATAGTAAAAATCGCTTAAAACAAGGTTTAGTAAACTATAATCCCTTTAAATAATTAAAATAATTAATTTCCGGAGTTTCTTTGTTTAAAGTATTTAATGATATGTGTCCACTTATAAACGAATTCTAAAAATCTATAGTTTAATTGTAATACAAATATTATGTATATATATAATTGTAATAAACGTTCTTGAGTAGGGTTTCCATATAAAATTTATGAATACTTGTATAATGCCAATCAAGAATTTTTTAGGCGGAACACCTATATTCATAATGATTTTTTACAATATACAGTTTTGCAATGTATTTTGATATTTCATGTTAAACTGCGACTTAAATATTATAATATTAAATATTAAAATTTAACTCAATTTTTGTTTAGTTCTGCAATTAAATTTTTTTAATTTTTCTCGGACCAATAGTTTGTATGCTCTATTATTTTTTATGCATAATACAATCGATATAATAGTTAGGTACCTCGTGTGAACATAATCAACGTAAGTGGTAAAATGTGTAGTTATATTATTAGGCATAAAATATTTTTTGTAGAAATGTATAGTGTTGTATGTTCGATTCGGTAAAATTTAATAAATTAGTTGTTCATGGCTATCGGTAAATATAACGTTAATGATGATTTAAACACTCGCTTGATTGTTACTGCTCTAGCCTACGTTTATATTTTTATCAATGCTTCTATAGGATGAAGTACAATACGCGTATATAATCACAAAGCACTTTTTATAATCTTATCGTCGAACGCTTATGCGTTGTGGTGTGGAAAATTCAATATTCAATAGATGTCAGTGAAACGACTGGGTA